AAGGCTGAGCCCTCAATAGATTCTGTACTTAAGTCTTATTCTATTAGCCTAATCATAATGCAATTCCACTTAAACACAAACACAGCAACAGCAATCATTACTTAATTCTAATTCATAACTCACTCTAAATAAGCCAGACCATGGTTTTACTAAGCAATTTCCAATGTACATAAATAATAACATATATTTAGCTTATCACAGTGCCTAACTCTCCCTGATGAGCCAAAAAATTGTATTTTGTTGTGCTTATCTTGCAGTTTCACAACTTGTCCCATTAATTTCCATACAGTTCCCTGAAGCTATTATGTACCTTCATCATCTGCTTCCCACCTTTGGCTCCTTATCTTCTCCTTTCGACTCCTGCTTGGCCTTATTCCTCTATTAATGACAGCTTCTTTGGTGATCTAGCTTCTTCTACTTTCCTTGCCTTCAGATATTCTCATAACATCTTCCATCATTCTCCACATATATTATTTGCTTTATGCCATACTATATTTGTAAAATACATAAAAGATTGGTAGTATTTTTATTTTATAGATGATGAAACTGAAGTATGGAAGATAAATGACTTCCGAGAGGCCATGATTTGTGGGCTTTGTAGTGGGTTTAACAGGAAGAAAGCAGAGGTGAAGTGTCAGGATAGAGAAGTTAGAGAGAGTCAAGATGAGTGATAGAGACCTAAGAAAGAGGAAGTTAAATGGTCCAGGGCATAAAATGACCCAAGGAACAGTAGAAATAAAAAGAGGGAAAGATCTTAAAATTGATGATTCCTCTGTCCTGATAACTTCAGGTGCATTTCAATCTAAAATCCCTATCACCTCATTGCATGGGGATGGATGGAGAAAAAAATACACAGTGTTTATCTTTTCCTGAAGCTTCCCATATTCACAAAATTCCTGATACCAAGAGAAGTACTATGAATCTGTTTAGTTTTATATTAGTTACTGCCATTTCTCTTTATCCCTCCATATACATTTCATAAATTCTTTTTCACATATTATTTAACCTTATCTACTTGCCATGATATTGTTCACTTGACAAATTCTATTCATTAAATATGAATCACACA